TAGAACTTTTCTCTTTTAAAAAAATGTGTATTCTACGTGAATATTACTTTGCAGTTCGCGCTGGAAACAAAATTGATGCATAAATCTTAATTTGCTGCTTCAGTTACAGACTGTTTTGCACGGGAAGTGTCAAGCAAATTCTGGTTTCGTCGTAAATTTGACTTCCTGATCTCTGTGTCACAGCTTTTAAGGAGTTATTTTCATCTATTGATTTTGAACCAGATTACAAAGGCTGACCTTGTTATTCTCTTTTTACATGTAGAAAAATCTAATTTTTAAGAAGGGGAATGACACACAATTCAGACAGGAAACTAGTAGGAGAGATGGATTAGAAATCTTTTTGTGTTTGTATTATTGAGGAATTGAACTGCCTGTTTGCTTATTTATTCTTGGCAACGATTTTCCAGCCTTGCTTTCCTTATGAAACTGTGTCATTTTGTGTAACACTTCCTTATCCCCTCTTCCTTTAAATTTTGGACTGTGTTACCCAGTTTCAGTTGAGATTTGGAGAAGCATCTCATAAATAGTTACACTTCACTGGTTTTGTAAAAACACAGGAAAAAAACAACTTGTGAGAAAGTCCTGGTGACTTCATCAGCTGAGCTCATCCCTCTGGGTACACAGAATCCATATAGTAGTGAGGTCCTTGAGAGATACAAACCAGAGAAATAGTAGTCTGTAGAGAACAAAGCTCTTTAACATTTTTGGGAAGCCAAGTTTCAATAGATCTGAAGTCAGATATTTTTAAGATCCTGCCCCTCCCCCCTTATATTTTGCAACATTTTGAATGACATAACATAAAAAATGACAATAACATAAAAAAAACCACAAACATGATAGATTTAACGTGGTTTTAGCTGTGCTTTGATTTTTTGGGGTCATTGTAATTTTTTTCTTTTGCAGTGTCTGGGAAATTTCCGATATCTGAGATCTCTTTATGTTACAGAATGTCTTACATATATTGCCATAGTTGTCAAATTGCCACAGTAATACTAGCTACTTCTGTTTTAGTTTAATCACTTTACAAAATTATGAATATCTATTGGTTGTTTTAAATACACCCCTTTTACAAATGATGTATTTTCAAATAATGCGAAGACCAAAGCTTAGTCTGTTTTTAGCAAACATGAAACAAGGTAATTCAGATCTTAGAATTACTAAATTGTAGGGGAAGAGCACTAAATATATTTACTGTTTATTCTCAAACATTGTTTAAAGTCTCATAAGTGTGTTTTATGTTCTTTTACACAGATTGACTTAGAGAGCATATTTTCACTTAACCCAGATCTTGCACCTGATGAAGATATTGAACCTAGTCAGGAGACACTACCACCACCTGCTTCAACAGCCAAAGTAAACAAAATTGTGAAGGTTGGTAATATCTACACAGCATGCTCATGACAGCCTGACAGTAATTCTATACATGATGTTATGTTGGAATTTTTAACCTTAACTTCTGTGTTTGTGGTACTATTTGATAACCTTTTCTCCTAAAGTCAATAGGGATTTCTAAAGATTTTTAATAATAGTTCCAGCAGAGGGGGAGTTGGGAACTAATATTAATATAACTAAATATATCTCAAGGAAGAATACAGACAAGGTTTTCGAGGTTGTTTTGAAACAGTACAAATAGTTCAATCAGTCTTCACCCCTTCACTCTTCAGGGAGGGACTTGGCATCAAATCACAGCTCTGTTGCTGATGGCATGTTGTTTTCATTCGCTCGGAGGAAGCAGAGGTGTGGCTGCAGTTTTTGTTTTCAATTATATGGTGATCAAATGAGAGATTTCTTTCTTTATAGAGTCGACGAAGTGTGTTGCCTGCTAAGAATGAAAATCCTACCAGAGATAATAGAGGTAAATGATCTCTCTTTTCATTTCAAGGAAGTAAAAAATGTGGGAACGTTTTAACCTCCATCTCTTCTAGTATTCCTTAATAGTTTTCCACTTCTCATTTGGTGTGTGTGCGCATGTGACAGGTAGAAGACATGATGCATAATTCCTGGAATTACTCCTATGTATATTTAGGAGTTCATACTGTACAAATAGTATTTATGTGCAAGTTGAAGCAATATAACATTAGGAAAGTTAAGCTGAATGAGCCAAAGGTGCAAAAATTTGAAGATATTAATTATGCAATGTTAAATCATGTGTGGACTTTCCATGTGAAGGCTAAGCATCCTCAGCTTACCCGAACAACATTTCAATATCCACTAGCAGTGCACTTAAAATTCTTACTCTTTTGCTTTTTTAACTTAGTGTTGTAACAGCCTGTGTGTAAGCAGTCATTCAAAGACAGCTCGAAAGCCCTACAGGTCATTTCTCACTTTACAGTTAATGGCAAAAAAATCTGTGGAAAAAAAGGCTGAAATATCACAGGAGGATAGGTGAAAAGTATGTACTAGATGAATACAGATGTAATGCATCCAGAACATGAGGAAGAACAGCTACTGCTGATTGTTTTCGTTTTCTCTCCTGCATCCAACTTGACTTGTACCAATGATGGTGATTATTCTTCTTCCAAAAAATTAACCTACTGCCATTAATTCAGACTAGGTTCCAGTCCACCTGTTGAAAAACAAGTGGGCTTGCATATCTTTGCAAGTGATCAGACTCTTTTGGTGGATGACTGGGTCCACTTTTGCCCTTCTGCCATTTGCCTCTGAGGCTGTTAAACAAATAGAAAAATCTCATGAGGACTGTATAATTTTTTTCAAAACTAATACAGTTTAAATATGAGATACCTTACTGATGGACTGTCCTTCACAGCCACAGATGATGTCATTTGTAGTAAATTATCTCTTTGGTATGGAATGACCCTGTAACTTGTATTTTAATAGGTACCATGCCTCTTACTGTTCACTGTTGGCCTAAATATTTTTGGTTTTTAGCCTTGTAATTCAGCGTTGCTCAGCACGAATTTGTGTAGACAATTTGTGCTACAAGCTAGATATCCTATGATATCTGGAACGATCTGGGCATTTGTCTTGTCTGTCTTGTTCAAAACCTGTTTCCATAGTTGTCTTCATGTTGCACAGTGAGATGGTCTTTACTTGGACTGTCATCTCTGGATGCTAATCAAAGCTGATACCTTCACTTTTGTACTCTCTGGCAGACTCTGTTAGAAGTGTGTGCAGGAAGTGGGCCAGCTGAAGCAGAGCTGTTGAAGCAACTATTTGAAAAACAGTTTAAAGCATTCAGCTCTATCCAAGAGGCTTGTATGCTCACCACTCCCACTGCATTCACTGGGAACAGACCTCGCAGCATCTTCAGAAATTGGCATCCTTAGCATGTATAGAATCAATACATGAGTTCAGACATATAGATTGTATCTGTATCCCTTCTGGTTACAGAGTCAGAAAGGTTTGTTTCTTCCACTCAGAGATCGAGCTGCACTTTGCTGCCTTTCATTCCTATTGCTTTGCTCCTCCAGAGATCACAGGCTCAGTGGGGTTGGAGCACTTCGTAAAACCTAGAGAATGAAACAGTGGGGCTTCTGTTTTTCTTACTCTTTTTTTTTTTGGGGTGTAGTCACAATATAAGTACAGTTGCAGTACTTTAAGCTTCAGAACTGCACATCTCCAAGTACAGACTTCATTTTGTGCACATGGGAAGTTGTACTAATTCTGCTAAAAGTATGCATGTCCAGCATTGGTACTTAATAATTACATTGTGTTGGTGTATGACACTAGGATAAAAAAAAAGGGTCTGCATACCAGATGTCTTTATTAATAGACTTTCTATGTGTATGGCTCCTCCTCACCCCCAGTAAATTGTTGTCTGCAAAGGGGCTTCATTTAACAAAGCATTTCAGAATTGGGTAGAACTGTTACTCTTCTGTGTCTAGATGAGCTTTGTGCTTTTTCTTTGCAGTGGTTGGTTCTGCACGCGCGCGACCTACTCAGCTTCCTGAGCAGTCTTCTTCCTCTCAACAGAATGGTACTGTTTCAGATATATCTCCAGTTCAAGCTGCAAAAAAGGAATTTGGACCCCCTTGTATGTAAACCGTGTATCAAAGACTCATTCTGGGCATTACATGTACATTCTCTTGGATTATGTTGTTGTCCATAAGCGACATATAGTCTCCATGCTCAGTTGTCTGTGAGCTTCCTTGAGGAGCTTTTTCAGAGAGCTGTGGCCAAACAAATGTTCATTTTTGTCATAATCATGATATTATTTGCAATTTGTTTTTCCTTTATCCTCCTTTAACCATGGTGGTGTTGATTTTGGTTTTTTCTTTTTTAATTTGTCTGGGCTTTCTTTTAATTCAAACCAAGAGACCACATGTATCTGTCCAAATATTTTTTTGGGGGTCATTGTCCATATATTTTTGATTGTGTAATTATTGTCCCATTCCCATGATTTTTTCCTCATAAATTTTATGAATTTCAGAAATCAAAGTGCCGTAATTATTCTGTGCTAATACTGATTTTCTTAAAAATACAGTTGATTTGAATGCATTCTAATTACTGATAAATTCATGTAATTGAAACTTACAGTGTAAATACTAAATTCATGCAACACTGAAAATATTTTAACATTACATCTTTTTCTTTAAGCACGTAGAAAATCTAATTGTGTAAAAGAGGTTGAAAAATTGCAAGAGAAGCGTGAAAAAAGAAGGTTACAGCAGCAGGAACTGAGAGAAAAGAGAGCTCAGGTTAGTATTTTTAGCTCAGATGGAAAACGTATGTCAGGAAGAGAAGTTCGCAAAATCATTGTGCTTTTTTCAGTCTCTAATAATTTTTATGAACTGTCGCAATCTTGAAATTAAGTGTTTTCATTCTGTATGTAAGTTCGATAAATATTTTGGTGTGTGGTTGCATTGCTCTCATAACTACTAAGTTAGGTGCTTTTCCTCCTCTTTTTCTTCCTACAGGAACAATTGCTTTCACTTGCTGTCTTGCTGCAGGTTCTCCAGAGATCAGCTACTGCTGATAGCTATTTCTTAGGGAAAATATATTGTTGAAAATAATAGAACTTTTGACTTTTAGAGAGGTCTGTTATTTTACAGTAGGTGATACAACATTGTGATAAAGTGCTCCTTATGATCTTTGAGTCTTTGTAGAGCATCTATTTGAGGCTCGGGTTTGAACAGTGACTTTTAATTTTTCTTTCTTTATACTAGCCTATGCATTTATAATTTTATCCTGCAAGCAGCTTGGCAGCAAGTTGTTAAAAACTTGTGTGAAAGAAATGAAGTTGCTAATCCTTTGAGAAAAATCTCTTAATATTAAATGACTTTCTGTCACAGTGGTGTAAAAGCTTTAGCAAAACTGGGAGCATAATCTTGTTGGCAGCCCTGTGCGTATGTGTTAGTCTCTAAAGAGATACTACCAATCCGCTACTGACATGAGAATTACCACCAACAAGTAAATAATTCAGACAATTTACTCTTCATGGTTTAATGATGCTTCCTAGTTGACCTAAAATCACCTGTGTTGAATTTTTGTTCTCTAGTTTCCATCTGTTAACACAAATGCAAAACATTGCTATGTCTTTACATCTAAGGAACAAGCATTTTTTGGCTTTATATGTTAAAATGCTGTGAAGTGCTATTACTTCTAAAATTTTCTCTTTATTGCTCCCATGGAGACTCACTTTGCGTCTGAGTCTTAACCTTCTAGAGGGCCCCTTTGCATCTGAGTCTTAAGCTTCTGTATGAGGAAGTTGTTGTGAAATGCAGCAATAATTCACCAAGCACTGACTTCCAGTGTGTAAGACCTTTAAACAGGGCTTGAAGAATATTAGGCAAATACATTTTCCTTAATAAGCAGTGCTCCTTTCTGAATGGTAGAAGGAAGTGTTTCAGTGGGAATACATTTTGTGAGGACTTACTGTCATCAGTACTGAGTTCACTGTAGTCAGGGTGAACAACATCAAGGCACAGTTAGATGCTGATTGCCAGGACAGTTTTGTCTGTGGTGAGGATTGTCTGTGTCACGGGTGCAAAGAATGAGCTGTCTCCCTTTCAGCTTAGTAACCCTAGTGCAGTGCTTTCTGAGAGTGCCTGTCCACAACAAGATGTGGTCCGGAAGGAGTTTTACATCATGTAGGGGTAACCATGCCAAACTTAGTAAGGTCTGCGTACCAGAGCTGGCTATGTATGGCATGAGCAGCATGTCCCAAAGTGGTGTAGAATCATAGAATCATAGAATCAACCTAGTTGGAAGAGACCCCAAAGATCATTGAGTCCAACCCTACCGTAGTTACGAGACCATGGCACTAAGTGCCACATCCAGTCTCATCTTGAAAACTTCCAGGGTTGGTGAATCCACCACCTCCCTGGGCAGCACATTACAATACCTGATCACTCTCTCTGTAAAAGATCTCTTCCTAATAGTGTGAGTTGTTTCAGAATCCATGACAGAAAGCTGTGTATAATAGGACTGAGCATACTAATGGAATTGCACCACCTGACTCCAACCTCCTTCCAGGGAGCTGTAGAGGGTGATAAGGTCTCCCCTGAGCCTCCTCTTAAAAAAAGCAGGTAGTCACAGGGACAAGACCTCTTGAAGCAGGTAGTCACAGGGACAACTGACAGGAAGGATGTTCAATTGATTCAGCAGAGAAACAGCTCATCTCACAGTAGGCTTAGGTTTAGCAAGGCTTTGGAGTGCCCTGTGCATGTCCTCTTAGGTGTCCATTCACTCTGGTACTGATGGCTCCATGTTTAAGGATGGGAGGTCAGCTGTCCTGGCTTTGTCAGCTTATTTGCTGGTGTGGTGGGGTGACAAGCAGAAAAGGCCCTGATGCTCTGTAAGCGTAGCTCAGTGATAGCTAAAACATAGAGTCATAGAATGTTAAGGGGTTGGAATGGACCTTGAAGATCGTCTGGTCCTAACCCTGTGCCCTGGGCAGGGACACCTCCCACCAGACCAGGTTGCTCAAGGCTTCATCCAACCTGGCTTTGAACATTTCCAGGTGTGGGGCCTCCGCAGACTCCCTGCGCAACCTTTGCGAGTGTGTCACTACCCTCACAGGAAAAAATGTCTTCCTAATATCTAATCTGATCTTCCCCTCTTTCAATGATTACCAGTTATTCCTTGTCCTGTCATTGCAGTTCCTAACAAGGAGTTCCTTTCCAGGTTCCTGTAGCCCCTTCAGATCTTGGAAGGTTGCACTGAGGTCTCCACACAGCCTTCTCTTCACCAGGCTGAACAGCCCCAGCTTTGTCAGCCTGTCTTCATAGGGGAGATGCACTAGGCCTCTTAACTTCGTGGCCCTCTGGACTTGCTCCAACAGTTCCTTGTCTTCGTTGTGTTGGAGGCACCAGAACTGTATGCAGTAGTCCAGGCAGGATCATCCCTGTGCGGTCAACACTGTTTCCAGCACAAATCCTAAACAGAGCCACGTACCACATTTTTCTGTGGAGACAATTAAGTCTAACTCAGCCAAAACCATCACAACCTTGGGATTGCTTATGTTTATTTGGGGTCTAGGACTGTTAGATGAGTTTGCAATGCATCCGAGTATCTGTAGAAATTAACACAGGACCAGTGGTAGTACTGAGCTCCTTTAACTGACTTGGGTACAGAAAGTTGTGTTTAGAGCAGCACCTCTGCTGCACTGTCCTCTGTGGTGTGTGTTGTACCTGTAGTGTAACCGTGTGACCATCCAACTGCCTTATTTCAGATTAATAATTGTTGACTCTGGAATCATTTGGAGGTGTTTTTGTGTGAAGGTGCTGGAAAAGGCAGGTGTAATTTCTCTTTCTTGAGTTGACTATTAAAGAGTCCTCCATTTAAAAGCATTTTCTCTTACGTGCCAACCAGAACCACAAAATAGGAAGCATATAATTGTTTTGCTTTATGGCCAGTAAATTAGCTACCTCAGAATGGAAAATGGCATTTGAGACATTTCTGGTGTTTTGGAGAAAATGAAAAAAGGTTTCAGTTGATGTGTATTTTTCTTATAAATAAACACAGAAGATATTGAACGTAGTCCGTTTCAGGGAACAAAGAATACAGTAGAAATTCTCTTGCTTACTTTTCCCTAGGATGTGGATGCTACAAACCCAAACTATGAAATCATGTGTATGATAAGAGATTTCAGGGGAAGTTTGGATTATAGACCACTGACAACTGCTGATCCTGTAAGTACCCTATATGTTTTATCCTTCTGTGTTATTGCTATGTGCTTTCAGTTTTCTTCAATGTATATTTCTGTCTGAAAATATGAAAAATAGGTGTTTTAATATATATTACTATTCACTGTAACATGGGTTAATTTTTTTTCAGTAATTTGATGATATGGAAATTAGTAGGTATCTTTTTACTGTTAAATAATGCCAGTATGTACAAAGTAGTCACTCAGCCTTTGTGTTGTGATTTTCCCGGGATGCTAAGGGATATGCACACAAAACCATTAAACTTCTCTGAAAAATCCTGTTTAGCATCAAGATTAATATTTGATCTTGGAAAGTGATGTGGAGCTTTGGTTTGCAGAGAAATTGGGGGGCAGAATCCTTAAATGATGAAGATGGTGACAATTTCTGTCGATAGCCGTTTCTGTCAATCTTCTATCAGATATCACTGTCTGCAGGGAGTTTTGTTAATGTATGGTGCTCCTTTTTGGGTTCTTGGCTGTTGTCCAGGCACACTCTCTGTCTTGGAAATTTGTTTAAATGGTGGTTAATTAATTCAAGAATAGAAGTCAAATAAAGTAAAATATCATATAAGAGGAACTGGTGGAGTTCAGTTCACTGAAAGACTTTCCTTTGCAGATTGATGAGCACAGGATTTGTGTTTGTGTACGAAAACGACCACTCAATAAAAAAGGTATGATCATCAGAGATTTTGCTGATTTATTTCTCTGTAAAGCTGCTTCTGATTGTGATATGATTCGTGTTAAAGAGCTCTAGAATTACTGATCAAAGGTGAAACTGTTATACTAGACAATATGTGTGACAGACTTAGAAAATTCATAGACCTGTCATAGCCTGGATAGAGATTGGGAGAAAAGTAGTTTAACTGTCACCATTTTATGGACTGGGAGCTGAGGCACAGAGAGGGTGCAGGTTTTTTCCGAGTCCATCTCGGATGTATTTAGTTGGTCTGGAAATTAATGCTACTGTAATTTCTTCAGGATTGTTATATCACATTAGGATCACTGTTATTTTAAAATGTCATTCAAGTGATCTCCTGAGCAGAGAGCTACCTGGTGAAAACTTCCATACACATTTTTGTACCTGTATTTTTATTATTTCAAGTGGTCTTGAATCGTACATCAAGGTCACAATTCAGGTACTGATGACTTATGACATGGTAGGTGCCCAAACATGTCCAAGACATGTTCACAGGTCTAGTGGATTACAGAGAAACAGGAGACTTTTATACCCTGGAGCTGCTGCTTAGATCTGGGCAAAGACACCCTAACAGCATATGAGATGCCACTAAAAAACTAGTAGGTACTAAAATAACTCCCTAGTGACTGTTTCATTTGTGATCAGTATTACAACTTTTTTTATTACTGCTTGCTCATCAGACTGGAGTATGTGTTCCAAAATAAACCCTCCAGAAAAC